GTTGTAAAGGGCGCTCCTGCTGCTCTGAACCCCACCCCTACTTGAAGCCTAGACTCTGAACTGCCATGGCTCACACCAGGTTGCTGCTGCCTGGACCCTTCACTCCATCTATGGCAGCTCAAGGCTCTGACCCATCATCTCTATGGCCAACCTACCACTGCCTACAGCCCCATCGCTTAGGTCCCATATCAGGGTTCTGAAACCTCATTGCTGGTGCTGTACTGCTCCATCCAAGACACACTTTCAGCTCCCAGGTCCCAGCCTGAACTGTCACTGGGGGCTGGGCTGCTAAAGCTCTGCGCCCAGGTCCCTGGGTCATGAGACGTGGTTTTAAGAAACTGCCACTGGATCGCGGTGCTGCTATCTTGTGACTGCTGCTTGGGACAGAGTTGAAACTTTGCCTCACCCTCCCCAGCACATGCCACTTCTACACTCTGCTTCTCTTGCCTAAGCCCCTGCTGAAACTTGTCATTCTAGGGTCTGTGTCTCTGTTATATTCCCTTCACCAACCAGAGCCACAGTTGTGTGCCCCTGAGACCCTGGTACAGTTTGCATAGAGTATCTGCCCATGTCTCTATCCTAGACCCCAGTGCCCCAGCCATAGCAAATGAACTTGTGCGCCATGACCCAGGCACAATGGTAGGTCCATCGGTGCCTAATCTTGGACAATGGCTCCAACACTGCTTTGAGGCCTCTGAGGTCAACATGTCACATCAGACACCAAAAAGGATCCTCTCAGCAAGATCTTCTTCCCACGATTAAGACAAGAGAGAATGGGATGCTATTTTTTTTTTCAATTTTTTAATATTGATCTATTATTGAGAGAGACAGACAGAAAGACAGAGTGAGAGTGGGAGAGGGGCCGAGAGAGAAGGAGACAGAATCTGAAGCAGGCTCCAGTCTCTGAGCTGTCAGCACAGAGCCTGATGTAGGGCTCCAACTCACGAACCGTGAGATCATGACCTGAGCTGAAGTCAGACGCCTAACCAACTTAGCCACCCAGGTACCCCTGGGATGATATTTTTAAAGTGAGCAAAGAGGGGCGCCTGGGTGGCTCAGTCGGTTAAGTGGCCGACTTCAGCCCAGGTCACGATCTCGCGGTCCGTGAGTTCGAGCCCCGCGTCGGGCTCTGGGCTGATGGCTCGGAGCCTGGAGCCTGTTTCCGATTCTGTGTCTCCCTCTCTCTCTGCCCCTCCCCCGTTCATGCTCTGTCTCTCTCTGTCTCAAAAATAAATAAAGGTTAAAAAAAATTTTTTTTTAAAAATAAAGTGAGCAAAGGGAAAGAAAAAAACCCGAAAACCTGTCAACCAGAAATACCTTACTCAGGCAGCATGATCTCCAATAGCCAAATTATAGAAAGAGCCCAAATGCCCATCATCCCATGAATGGATAAAGATATGGTATTTTTCAGAGTTAAAAATACCATAGTAGTAGGGGGGGACCTTGGGCTTGTCTCATGCCTCAAGCACAGCTAGATCAACATCAAATCACTCTGAACGCCTCGGAAATTGATCACAAGGCAATAGATAAGAGAAGAAGCTGCACAATTCAAGGTAGAGAATGTGGCAGGTACGCGGAGCAGGGGAACTGGGGGGAGAGAAATTCAGCGTTGCTGCAGAGGGTCAGAGCCCTTTACACAGAGAAGAGTAAGAGAGAAGGAGGGAGAGAGCAATGCATTCGGTTCATGTAAGAAAAGCACTCTCCCCAAACCACTGGTAGGAGAATTACGAGGAACTGACTCTTCCAAGTTTTTGCGAAGCGTTAAGCTGAAATTTTGAGTTTTTGGAAGTCTGTGCCATTTGCCGGAGTAGAGTCGGGGCCCGGGGGTGGCATTGCTCCTGGGTAGAAGAAAAGGAGGCCCGGAATGTACCGTGGACAGGGTGGGGTGGCCATCCCTTGGGTTGCACGGGGAGACTTATCCTCTCCAAGGATAAAAGACCCAGCTGGCGCCTCTGAGTGGCAGGGCACAGAGGTACAGGAAAAGGACGGGTGAAGCGAACGCAGCTTTTTTCCTGTGCCTCACCATAAACTCCAGGCGCCTGCCCAGCCATGCAACTGCTTTTCGGGAACAGACCGGCGCCAGGGGCAGTGCCGTGAGGTTCTCCCCTGGAGGAGGGGAATGGGTTCTATGCCTTGCCGCATCCTTTAAGATCTGGAGTTTTGAACCCCAGTCATACACCAAAGATAAAACACAGGAGAACTGTGGCACCACAGTGTGTGGAAGGACTGGGCACAGAAGGGTCGAGGGCAGGGATCTGACAGAAGCCTGGGACACGGGAGGGGAGATGGTTTGCTTGCCCGTGAGGGCTGTCTGAACAGTGGCTCCGCTAGCCGGGGATGACAGAGCTGGGTGATGCCTTTTTCCCCCACCCACCAGCATGGCCAAACTTCAGACAGCAATCCAGCATCTCCAGTAAAGGCTAGCACCCTTACACCAAACCCACCCCCTGCACCCTACAGGGACATCTTTAGGAGGACAGGTCTGACTGTAAGCCAGTGCAGTTGACCTCTTCCCCAGGGGTTTTGGTGGACCCCCTAACCCAAGCTCACTTTACCGAGTAATTCTCCTGGCTTATTATGGGTACATATAAAACTTTGGGCATCTTATTACGCATGTATTTAGATATGTATTTGGGGAGAAAATTGGGAGGGGTTCTACATCAGAAATACATTAAGCAGCTCCTCTCTTCTTTTTCTCCATTCCCCATGGTAGGTGTGGATGGGATACGCCAACATTGAAAGGAAAAGGGCACTTGAGCCTCTTCTTTCCCTGGGCCCCTGTAGGTTCCCCAAATCTAGCAGCTGAACAGGTTTGCTCGCCAAGCCTTGACAATGCTTTTCAAAATTTCTTCAATTCCCAACGAGACAGTGTGAGGTGTTGGTAGTGGGTGAGGAGACTGGGCTTTTGGCCAACGAGACAGAACAGGAAATGCAACCTGATTTCAAAAATGGAGGGGCGCCTGGGTGGCTCGTTCGGTTAAGCGTCCGACTTCGGCTCAGGTCATGATCTCACGGTCCGTGAGTTCGAGCCCCGCGTCGGGCTCTGGGCTGATGGCTCGGAGCCTGGAGCCTGCTTCAGATTCTGTGTCTCCCTCTCTCTCTGCTCCGCCCCTGTTCATGCTCTGTCTCTCTCTGTCTTAAAAATAAATAAACATTAAAAAAAAAATGGAAACACATGTCCCCCCAAAGTTATTCATTTAGTGTCCATAGATGATGTGTATGAAATTTCTCAAAAACCATTTCTTGGATGTTTTATTATTTGTATTTGAGAGAAAGAGAGAGCACAAGCAGGGAAGGGGCAGAGAAAGAGGGAGACACAGAATCCAAAGCAGGCTCCGGGCTCTGAGCTGTCAGCACAGAGCCTGACGCGGGCCTCGAACTCACGAACCATGAGATCATGACCCGTGCCAAAGCCGGACGCCCAACCGGCTGAGACACCCAGGTGCCCTTCTCAAAAACCATTTTCAAACTGAAAATATCTTTGATATATATGATCAAACTCCTAAGTCAGATTATATTTCCCATACCCAGCTAAACAAATATATTGTAACAATAGAGCTTTGGATGAGTGGAAGGAAGAAGACAGTTTTAGAGCTTGGGTTTTCTTAGAAATCGGCCTTTATGATCTATTTGGAAAAGCAAAATATAAAGAGATCACATACAGGAAGAACCTCTTGTGGCTTGGCTATATTTTAAGGATATTTAGGCATTATGTAATTTATTCCTCAGCCCTTGGCGTTGGCTACATATACAGTTACCATATCACAGGTGATGGAACTGAAGCATCAAGTTTTTAAGTAAAAATGACCAAGATGTAGTGAATACTTAGGTGTCAAAAGGTGCTTTTCAAATAATCTTCAAGCAACTCTATGAATAAGATACTATTTGCGTCATATTTTATGGGAGAGGCAAGCGAGACAGATCAGTTTTCTGACTCACAGAACTAAGAGTGTGCATTCAGAATTACATTGAAATGACCTGGGTTCATTGCTGATGTTTTTATTTTATTTTATTTTTTTTTTTTTATTTTTTTTTCAACGTTTATTTATTTTTGGGATAGAGAGAGACAGAGCATGAACGGGGGAGGGTCAGAGAGAGAGGGAGACACAGAATCGGAAACAGGCTCCAGGCTCTGAGCCATCAGCCCAGAGCCTGAAGCGGGGCTCGAACTCACGGACCGCGAGACCGTGACCTGGCTGAAGTCAGACGCCTAACCGACTGCGCCACCCAGGCGCCCCAATGTTTTTAAACTTTATACCTTACTGCTTATTCCACAAGGCCCCTGGTGAAAACATCTGCATGCTGATGTTTCCCGTTATACAAAACCACCTTACAAGAATTTTTGGTACAGAGGAAAGAAAAATCTAGATGGAAGTTAGGAACGTTCTATTTTTTTTTTTTTTATTTCTCATGTTTATTTTTTACAAACAAAGATATCTATCTCATGAAACACAATGAGAAAAATATTCCTATGGTTATTATGGTAAATTGGGTTATTTTTCAGTGAACTTACGGTTCCTCTAACTGACCACTTTGAAAACAGTATACTTTGCAGACAATTAATGACAGGTTTGACCATAGGACTTGTTTTCACAATATAGTGTGAGTGGGAAAGTGATACCTTCTGAGCTCAGAGTGCAGGCATTAAGAAGCACATTTCTGCTGGCCCCTCTGACAGCTGCTAATCTCTGCTCTAAAAGGTCGTATACCACATAGCCCACTGTTCTAAGAATAAACAATACAAAAGGATCTGAGCTGCATCTGTGGTTTGCAGTCAAGCCCATGCAACCCAAGCTCATCAACTAAAACGCAGCCAAACCACAAATGGGTGAACGAGACATAAAGGCTTATTTTTAGATGCCAATGAAATTTGGGTTGTTTGTAACACAAGTTTAGCAATTAGTACATCTGCCACTTACCTATTATATGAAATTAACTGTGAATATCCATCTATTTCCTCTGTATGAACATGGGAAATAAATATAAAGAATATGTCTATATTCAAGAGATCAAAGCATATGAAATGCGAATTTATTTTGCGACTTTGAGTTTTATCTCTCTTCCTCTTGTCACTGAATTACAGTAGAAAAATCTCTGAATCACTATCAAATTACTAAAGTTTGTCTCGTGATTTGGCAATAACTAGCTGTTTTACCCACACAAATATCTGTACATGTTTAATTCTTGTTTTCTTCATCAATTACTATTTTATTTTTCATGCCAAAGTATTGATTGATTGATTGATTGATTGATTGATTTACTGGGAGAGTGGAAACAAAGCCAGGGCAGAGAGAGGGGGACAGAGGATCCAAAGCACAGAGCCCGACGCGGGGCTCAAACTCACGAACCGTGAGATCATGACCTGAGCCGAAGTTGGACGTTCAACTGACTGAGCCACCCAGGTGCCCCTGCCAAAGTATATTTTTAAATTTGCTGGCACAGAACGACAGAGTGAGGACACAGATAATTTAATAAAACAAGATACCTTCCAAAATATCTGAAATCCTGGTGAGGAAAACAGCAGACAAGAAGAAGTACCAAAGGACACTGGTTGTTATTCACTGAAAAAGCAACCTCTCCCCAAAAATGAATCTGATCTTTGATTAGTGCTGCACTAAAACGGATTCAGAAGGTACAGCTTGGTTCCATTCTCTGAGGAAGTGGGCAGATCTGAATGGCTCTTAGACGGCAACCCTGGGCTTGTTGCATGATACCCTGAGTGCCTGGTTATCGATTTAGTACTCTCAGCTCCAAATCTATCCCTCAGTGCTCTTTTCTCAGATAACGGTGCAAGATCCTATCAATTTTCTCTCTTGTCGTCTCACAGGAGGTTGACTTCTGTTGGTAAAAGGCCATCGAGAGACACTGCAGCAGAAAGGGCTCTTCTTCCTGGTTCCTTGGTGTTTTCTCTCCTTTGGCCACTATGGCTTGGTTGCCAGCTGCCTGTTTGCAGGAAGTCCTGTGTATTCAGCCTCCACGAGTGTCTGTGGCCCGTGCCAGTTAAAGTTTCCTCTTCCAGCCTCTACCTGCTAACACCCTGGCAGGGGGTTCTTCCTCCCTGCCAGTCTCAGACCGAGATCCTTCCTCACCAAGTTCAGCCAGGGGACCGTGGAGCTGCTCTGCCCCAGGTCAATCCAGTGAGCATGTCGGCCATGAAGCTGTGTGCACCCACATTGTCCTCGGTGACATCTAAATCCCCTCTTCAGAGAGCGGACCTGGCTTCCCAGTGATCCCTCCTTTCGGTACTTTCCTTTAAGCCTAAGGTATTCTTATAACTTTGTTTCATCCCCTCATGCTAGGCTTTCCCATATAGTTAATAATTCTTTATATCAAACTTCTCCTGGTTTCTGTCTCCTACCTCAACACTGACTGATAACCTTGCCACTCTGGGTCGTTCAACCTTCACATGCAGCCCCTTTAGGGCTAGAACAAATCAATTAATTTGGAAATATGAGTGGGCTTTTTCACCCTACCGAGGGCTTTATCATAATAATGCTTGATATTATCATTTATAATGTGTATGTAATTTATTTTAATAAATAAAAAAAGTTTAACAAATGGATGATATATTCCTGAGTATATATTTTTTTATGTTAATATAAATAAAGATTTAAAAATAATTCTACAACCCTAAAGGTAAAACCTCAGATACTCTTTGGACCTTGGGGGATTATGATATATCAATGAAGATTAATCCTGGGTAACAAGTAAAGCATTCTAATGAGTGATGTTGATGATGGGAGACGGCATGCATATGTGCATACTGGAGGGTTATGGGAAATCTCTGTACCATTCTCTTAATCTTGCTGTGAACCCAAAACTGTTGTAAAAAATAAAATCTTAAACAGATAACTCTAAGAAAATAATCATATGGCTTGAAGAAATGAGAAATATGTTCTTTATAGACGGTGAAGCAGCATTATATCAGATTTAGGTAGGTTGAAGTGCCTGGTGCTTACAAATATATGTTTTTATTTCTAAGCAGGATTCAATTAAAATTTTTTTGGCCTGAACGTATAAAAATGTACAATTGTGGTCCCACTCTGAAGATACTGACAACCTGAAATATAGAAAATAATATCTAATTAATCTTGGTAATACATAATTTTAAATCTTAATGAACATGCAATCCATTTGGACTAAGAGTTATGTATCTAAATCTGAATATTTTCCATATTATTTTTCTATGGAAACACTTCAACAATGGTGTTTCTAAAGTTGTTCCATTAAGGGGCGCCTGGGTGGCTCAGTCGGTTAAGCATCCGACTTCAGCTCAGGTCATGATCTCACACTCCGTGAGTTCGAGCCCCCTGTCGGGCTCTGTGCTGACAGCTCGGAGCCTGGAGCCTGCTTCAGATTCTGTGTCTCCCTCTCTCTGACCCTCCCCTGTTCACGCTCTGTCTTTCTCTGTGTCAAAAATAAATAAACATTTTAAAAAATTAAATAAATAAATAAATAAATTTGTTCCATTAAAGCTGTTTTTTTTTTTTTTTTCCTATGACAAATTCTTTGAGGCATAAAATAAAGGAGTTGTGAAGAAACTTACGGTTTGGAAAGGAAAGTTAAGCCTTTGGGCCACAGCCATGAACTATTATTTCTTGTCTGGGAGACTCTACACCATGAAGAATGAATGAAGAAGTCCAACATACACTATGAGAAAACAAATTTTATTAGAAGTCACATCAAAGCTCTTATACTCATGTGAACTTTGTAGTAACAAGTCAAGCTCATTCTTTGTGACTTTATAGAATCTTTCAAATTGTAATACAGTGCTACGCACTGAACCCATTGTAAAGATATCTTAGTAGGACTAAGTGAAGAAGACACACTGCCATGGATAATAATTTGGGGTTCTGACAATTGCCCTGAGGTTAATAATAATAACTTGTGAAATATTTATTATTTTAAAAACTCCTAGAGATTCAAATAAGAAGTACCTTTGTAATCTTCTTGCCTAGGACTGCTCCCATGCCTCTCCACCTACCCACCCTAGTGCAGTGATAAAAAAGAATTGTACTATTGGGGCGCCTGGGTGGTTCAGTCAGTTGAGCATCCGGCTTCAGCTCAGGTCATGTTCTCCCGGTCCATGAGTTCGAGCCCCGCGTCAGGCTCTGTGCTGACAACTCCGAGCCTGGAGCCTGCTTCTTGTTCTGTGTCTCCCTCTCTCTGCCCCTCCCCTGTTCATGCTCTGCCTCTCTCTCGCCCTCTCAAAAATAAATAAGCATTAAAAAAATTTTTAATAAAAAAAAAAAGAATTGTACTATTTATGGGGCACCTGGGTGACTCAGTGGGTTGAGCGTCTGACTTCGCCTCAGGTCACGATCTCACGGTTCATGAGCTCGAGCCCCGCGTTGAGCTCTGTGCTGACAGCTCAGAGCCTGGAGCCTGCTTCAGATTCTGTATCTCCCTCTGATCCTTCCCCACTCGAGCTCTCTTAAAAATAAACATTTAAAAAAATTTTTTTAAAAAAAGAATTGTACTATTTACACTTTGGGAAGACTGAAAAAATCATGATGCAGTTGCCTCAAGGGCAGACATGAGTAAGAGTGGGGAAGGGGATGAAATAACCATTGCTTTTTCAGCTCAAAGTGGTGAGTTTGCTTGATAATGAATGAGGGAAACTCACACTTTCCTTTATCTGAGCTCAAGGCCCCCAGTAAGTAAAATGGGAAGATATTGAAGGGAAAAGTACAACAGAAGAGATGATATTAGCTCTCTACACACTTTTAGCTGATGGGGAAAATGCGCCCACATGTAGAGGAGACCCAGATAAAAGCGAAAGCTGAGACTTGAGAATTGACAGTAAAGTTATGAGCACTCCCCTCCCACACACACCCCCCACCCCTCCCCACACACATACACATACACCTGCACATCCATCACATGGCAGAGGGTGGAAGCCTTACTGATTTGCAGTATTTGAACACAACCTTTAAAAAATTAGTGGTTGACATCTAAGCTGCAAAATCACAAGGGCAATCCCTAGGAAAATAGGCTGTAAGTAAATAAATAAATAAACAAACAAACGATAAGAATTAGGAAAAACTGATTTTGCAGTAAAAGCTATGCAAGCTCCAAAAATAAGAAATCTAAGAAAAATGAAATACAATGCATGTTTACTAAACTACATTATCAGAAATGTGTACCTAAAAAACTTTTAAAACACGCAAAGAAACCAGAAAATGTCTTCCATACTAAAGTCAATAGAAACTTTTCCTGGGAAAGATGTTAGAATTACTGAAAAAAAAAAAAAGTATTTTAAAGTAACATTTATGAATATTTGTAAGTTATAAAGGAAACTATGTTCAAATAATTAAATGAAAATATGGCAGCAACATAACAACTAGGAAATATCAGTAGAAAAATGAAACTATGTGGAGAAAACACAGAGAAATTCTGAGTTTATAAATACCTGAAATGAAAAATTCACTCCATTGGCTCTATAGAAAATTGGAGATGCAAAAGAAAAACTTGATGAAAAACTTTATTCATCCCATAGAATGAGAGAGAAAAAATAACAGAGTTCAGAGATCTTCAATAATCAGAAAACCACCATGGGTCTGAATAAAATCAAAGGAGGATAAAAGAAGCAGAAGAAAACAAACAAACAAACAAACAAACAAACAAACAGAAAAGCAATATTAACACACGGTGAAAGAATAACTTCTTAAATAGCATTTTAAAAATATTTGTGGAACCCAGTGGCTCAGCAAACTACTAACAGAATGAGCACAAGGAACCCACATCTCACGACATGATAATGGAATGACCATGAAGTGACCATTAAGTGTCACTTGCGAACACAAACAAAAAAAAAATAAGCCCGAGGGAACAGGGTGGATTATGAGGTGACTTAAGTCAGTGTGAAAATCAGGGAATGGGAGGCATATCTCCCACCTCCAGCAGACTTAAACCACATTATCTACCACAAAATCCACAGATTAGATCCAGATCTGATCCGTGTTCAGATTAGAGGGGGAATGACACCAGCAACAGAAAACAATAAGAAGCCCCAGGCCCTTCATCCCCCGTGGAAACAATAACTTAAAAATACATCCAGACACAAACCCATGTGTAGTCAGGCTAATCATTTTTGATAAGGGTGAGAAGACCATTTAGGATGGAAAGGGTAGTATCGTTCACACATGGTGCCAGAAAACTGACTACCCACACACAAAAGAATGAAGGTGGATGCTTAGGTTTATGCCCCATAATAAAGTTCATTCAACATGGACTAAACATCATCGGGACACCTGGGTGGCTCAGTCAGTTTAAGCATCTGACCCCAGCTCTGGTCATGATCTCGTGGTTCATGAGTTCGAACCCACATCGGGCTCCACACTGACAGTGCAAGAGCCTGCTTGGGATTCTCTCTCCCTCTCTGTCTGCCCCTCCCCCAATTTTGTGTGCACTCTCTCTCCCACACACACAAAATAAATAAATAAACTTTGTTTAAAAATCGGGCTAAACACAAGGCACCTGCTTGGCTCAATCGGTTAAGCATCTGACTTCAGCTCAGGTCATGATCTCACAGTTCGTGAATTTGAGCCCCATGTGGGGCTCTGTGCTGACACCTCAGAGCCTGGCGCCCGCTTCAGATTCTGTGTCTCCTTCTCTTTTTGCCCCTCCCCTGCTCACACTCTGTCTCTCTCAAAAATGAATAAACATTAAAAAAATTTTAATATTTTTTTTTAAAAATGGACTAAACACACAAACATAAGATGTAAAACTATCAAATTCCTTGGAGAAAACATGGAGGGAAGTACATAAAATTTTATTTGGCAATGACTTCTTGGATATGACACCAAAAGCACAGACTACAAAGGAAAAGACCTTTGTAGACAAATGGGCTACGTCAAATTAAAACATTTCTTTGCATCAAAGGACATGATCCACAGAATGAAAGATATAGTGGAAAAATGCTTGCAAGTCATATACCAAAACAAAGATTTATATCCAAAATATATAAGGAATACAATGTCACTAATAAAAACAAAAACCCAATAACCCAAATAAGAAATGGGTAGGAGGTGCCTGGGTGGCTTAGCCGGTTGGGCGTCCGACTTCGGCTCAGGTCACGTATCTCACGGTCCATGAGTTCGAGCCCCGCGTCGGTCTCTGGGCTGATGGCTCAGAGCCTGGAGCCTGCTTCCGATTCTGTGTCTCCCTCTCTCTCTGCCCCTCCCCCGTTCATGCTCTGTCTCTCTCTGCCTCAAAAATAAATAAAACGTTAAAAAATTTTTTTTAAAAGAAATGGGTAAAGGAATTGAATAGACATTAGAAAATATACAAATGGTCCAAAAGCATATGTAAAGGTGTTCAATATCACTGATTGTCAGAAAAATTCAAATCAAAACCATAATGAGATATCACCTCATACTTACTAGGATGGATACTATTTAGGAAAAAAGGAGGTGGAAAAAGAGGACCCTGGCACATTGTCATTGGGAAAGCAAATTGGTCAGCTATTATGTAAAACAGTATAAAGCTCCCTCCAAAAATTAAAAATAGAATTGCCCCATGAATCAGCAATCCCACGTGTAGGAAATTTTCTAAAAGAATTGAAACCAAGATCTCGAAGAGATACCTGCACACCCATCTCACTACAGCATTATTCACAAAAGTCAACCAGTAGAAGCAGCCCAAATGTCCACTGATGGAAGAAAGGAGAAAAAAAAAAAAAAAAAAAAGCAGTATACACAGAACAGTGTAATATTATTATTCAGCCTTAAAAAGGAAGGAAATCCTATCACATGCTACAACATGGTTGAAATTCCAGGACATCATGCTGAGTGAAATAAGCCAGTCACACACACACAAGAATACGATTCCACTTCTAGGAAGTATCTAAAGCAGTCAAACTGATGGAAACAGCAAGTAGAATGGTGATTGCTAAGGGTTCGGGGGAAAGTAGAGAAGTTCATTCTGTCCATTGAGTATGGAGTTCCAGTTTTGCAAGGTGAAAGTTCTAGAGATCTGTTGGACAACGATGTGAATACAGTTAGCACTCATGAACTGTATGCTTAGAGTTGGGTAAGATGCATGAAACTGTTAAAGTGTAGTGGATAAGATGTGAGACATTGTGTGATTCCAACTATATGATGTCCTGGAAAAAAATAAATAAAACTATGGAAACAGTAAAAAGATCAGTGGTTGCCAGAGCTGAGAAAGAAGGGAAGGATTGATAATAGGTGAAGGACAGAGGATTTTTAGGGCAGTGAGCCTATAGTATATAAATATGTAATGGATGATAAAGGTCTTTACACATCTCTCCAGTCTCATAAAATGTACATAATCAAGAGTAAACCTTAATTTAAACTATGGTCTTTTGGTGATAAAGATGTGTCAATGTACTTTCATCAGTTGTAGCAAGTGTAACCCTAAGGTGGGAGATATTAACAATGGGAGAGTCTATGCATGTGTAGACAGTAAGCATATATAGGAAACCTGTGTGCCTTCTCTCAGCTTTGATATGACCCTAAAATTTCTCTCAGAAATAAAGTTTATTTTTTATATAAATGGGTAATTTGGTAAATTTTCTATTATTTTTTTTACCACAATTAAAAATAAAATAAAAAGCAAACAGAAAGAGGGGATCTTGAAAGCAGCAAGGAAAAAACTACTAATTACATTTAATTACAACTAATAAT